AAATTCGATCACTAACAAGGAAGAGGTGGGTTTTTGAACGACGCTCAAATGCATTTTTTAAATTGAAGCAAAAGACTTCAGAGTTTCAGACTCCAAATGGCCTTCAGCATTTTGTTTTAGAATGCATTTGTTGTTATTACTTTTTATTTTAGTGCTTTTACTTTTTTTACGTTCTTCAATTTTGTGTTTTTGTTGAATCTCTCGGTGTTATCTCGCAGTGTTCTCTCGTCGCCTGCGGAAGCTCCAAGGCTTCGCAGCCGCAGTCGCCTGTCGAGATCATTGAAGGAAACAACAATGTGTGCACGCAAAAAACAAAAAAGAAGTGGACAGGTCTGAAGGTCTAAACAAACAACATAACGAAGAGAGAAAGAACAAAACAAAAAATGAGTTCCCACGGAAACCACGGCTACGCCACGCACCCGTACAATGACCCTAGACACAAAATAAGAATAGAAAGAAACACCAAAAAAAGTGGTCCTTGAGAAAGGACGCAGCGAGAAAGCGACAACCAATGGTAAACAGTTTTTTCGATTGCTTCGCTTCGCATCCTGACTTGTCAGTTTGCTTTGCCTGGACGTCTGCGATTGCACCGATCATTTAGGCTTCATGTCTCTTGATTCTCTTGATTTCAAATGCCTCTTGACATCTCGTGCAACAGAGACCATGTGCGAGACAATGACACATCCCGGCGGCAAGCTGAAGTCGCCAGGATTGGCAGGTAGGAAGCTGTGGGTTCGACGTGAAGTGAGGCTTTCTTTAAATGCGTAGGAACAAGGACGCTACTAGGAGCAAAGGGCATCGCTACTAGGAGCGATCGGACGCTACTAGGGGCTCCTGGCCATACTACTAGGAACAAGGTTCGCTACTAGGAGCAAGGACGTGCTTAGCTGGATGGAGGCCATCGCTCAAGTAGGTTGGAGGCCATGGCTACCTTTAGTTCTTTTTCCCTCGCTACTGTTGGTGGTTTTCGATTCCACTGTTGTTTTCTGATTCAATGTCACGAATCAAACATCCAGAAAAGAGCTGTCTTCTCAAGCCAGCCTTTGCAAGGGCAAATCTTAGTACACAAATGTCTTTGTCTTGCAATTGAGTGATAATCTCAGCCATGGATTGGAGAAGAGCAATGCCTTTGATCTCGTATTGATTGTGAGGTACTTCCGAGAAGTCGTCTTCCAAACACTCTCTTGGTTTGGTTGTTCTTTCTACTAGTGACAAGAAGCTACTAGGAGCAAAGGGCATCGCTACTAGGGGCTCCTGGCCTTAAGGACCTTACTACCAAACATGTTGTTTTCTGCCTTGATGAGAACAACAAAATTGTTCGGCCATATGATCGAATAAATGCCACGACTCTTTGCTCAGCTAGCTGCTGGGCTAGTCTTTTAAATTGAAGCCTGAGAAGGTTAGAATGAAAGCACTACAGAATCAATTAAGTTTCAGCCTTTGAGTGTCCAGTGAGTGACCATACGCACCACCTAAAGTCTCTGTTTGGCGTAGAATGGGAAGAATACTTCCTCTGCAAAGCCTTCTCATATCACAAGCGCATTCAATTTCTTCATGACTTACGAAAGACCTGGTACTCGCCCTAAAAAAGGACCAACAGCACATGGGGACATGAGTGCGCCGTGGGAGTTGGTCTACCTTCCTGAACTGTCCCGGATGCACAAAACTGGTCCTGAACAAGCGGAACCATGGCCCCGTCACAGCCCTATACCATGGCAAACTGATGTCATGAACCAACCTACTAGCGATGGCCTCCAACCTAGTAGCGTCCTTGTTCCTAGTAGTGCAGCCAGGAGCGCCCCTAGGAGCGTCCTTGGTCCTACGTGCAATGACCTCCACCACACCATCTTCTCTTCGCTGAAGCAACAAACCTGTTCGGCTGGTCCGGGCCTGCTTCGTTGCCTTCAGTGTCTGCTGCGTCTGGCACTTCCAAGGGTTGCTCAAAGGGAGGCAAGGGTGAAGGCTCTCCGCACCACTCCTCCGCGCTTCATGGAACATATCTTCAGCTGTGCCATGGCCTCCAACCTGCTTGATGGCCGAGAACGCAGAAAAGGTTACTAGTAGCTTCTTGTTACTATAATAGTAGTATTGGCCTCCACCTAGTAGCTTCTTGCTACTCGTAGTGATGCCAGGAGCTACTAGTAGCTTCTTGTTTCTAATAACGATGGCCTCCACCCTAGGAGCGATGACCGAGAATGCCAGAAACAAAAGTTACATTTCGGGTGTGAGGGCACTGGTCTTGCATCATTATGTCGCGGAGGGTGTTTCACAGCTAGGCTTGCGACACCCATGAATGTCTGTTCAAGGAGACAATTTTTGATGTGCAACCTGTTAGGAAGATAGGTATGCGGTGTGTTCCTTTTATGCCATACAGATTGTTGCTTGTACAGCCCGCAGGTTGCTAGGTCCGGAACACGGAAATGGTTCCTTTAGTGATGTTGCTGCACAAAGCTGCACTGTGGAATAGATTAAGACCTATATACATTGAAACTGAAGCCAATAAATGATGATAAATGCGTGTCCCTGGCAAAATCAAAGGAAAGATCTAAACCATCCAAGTGTTGCTAGGTTGAAGGCCATCGCTAGTAGGGTGGTGGAGGCCATCGCCAGTAGGGGTTGGAGGCCATCGCTCTTAGGGTGGAGGCCATCCCTAGGTTGAAGGCCATTTGAGCTGATTGCCCAAGTGTCGTTCCACTAAGACCACGCTACTAGGAGCAAGAATGCTACTAGGGGCAACAAGAAGCTATTAGAAACAAGTGCATCGCTACTAGTAACAAGTGCCTTACTACTAGGAACAAGAAGCTACTAGGGGCTCCTGGCCGTACTACTAGGAGCAAGAAGCTACTAGGAACAAGAAGCTACTAGTAACAACTCCGTCCTTCAGGGCAATCTGCACGTCTTCGAAAGAGCAAAGCAGTAGATGGCTCCGCCTCAGTCGATGGTGGAACCTAATAGCAAAAGGAATCTACTAGCGGTGGCCTCCACGATGGCTCTGCCTCATAATTGCGCCTATTTAGCAAAGACACACTTCATGCATCGCGTGCACCGTGTGGGTGGATAGTCGAATGTTCACAGTGTGTTCCTGTCCTTCAGTCCTTCTACTGGTCTTTAATTCTAATTTATATATTGTTTCTACTAGCTTCTTGTTCCTAGTAGTAAGGCCCTTGTTCCTAGTAGCGATGCCAGGAGCCCCTAGTAGCATTCTTGTTCCTAGTAATTAGTGAGCCCAGGAACCCTGGAGACAGCACGGATCATGTCCACACATTGGAAGTGGCCCCAGCTGCTGTGTCCAAGCAAAGTCAGAAACGGCAACGCCACCCACTGCTATCTGTTAGAAACTAAGGTCAGCATTTGAAGCAGCGCCACAAGTGGGAAAAAGGAACCAATGCGGAAACAATGCGCTGTTATGTGTTCGTTTATTCGCTGAGTCGGCATTTTATAGAGCGTTACTTGTTTTGCTCTTTAGACCAATTGTCCTTTCGAGCGTTACTTCCTCAGTGCGTGTTTCTTCCTTTAGACCGTCCCGAGTCCAGTCGACCCGGCGGATCCTGTGTCGAAATTCGACAGACCCGACGGAACGAACTTGCCGGACGTGTGACGACTGAGTCACGCTACGAGTAACGGGTGCATCGCTACTAGTAGCAGGAAACTACTAGGTTGGAGGCGTAGGTTGGAGGCCATGACTACTAGTAGCAAGGCGCATCGCTAGATGAAAAGAGACTCTGGAAGACATGTCCTAGGCATCGGGCGCTCGTGTTTGTTGCCAAAAGATTCCCTGGCGAGAAGAGAAGATTCTTTCTAAGAATACAAATGCATTTTTAATAGGGGGTAGGCCGCTAAGAGGTAGGAATAGCTAGTAGCTAGGCAGCTAGTAGCTTAAATAGCTACTACTTAGGACGCAGGATAGCTCGTACTTCTTCAAGGAAACTCCCAGCTTCCTTGAAGAAGCGCTCGCACTAATGATTTAGGGAAACTTAAGGTAGTAGCTTCTTGTTACTAGTAGTAATGGCCTCCAACCTAAGAGCAATGGCCAACCTAGTAGCGATGGCCTCCTACTCTTGCGACAATTTGGGCAAAGTCGTCAAGGCAGCACATCGCCTGCTGCAGCGTTGAGAGCTGGCCAAAGCTTTGACCGATCCATTCTGCCTGAACACCAGCAGTTTTGATTGAGGGAAGGAAAGGCGGAATGGTAGTTTGGTGTGACTGGCGAACAGCAATGGCAATGGCGTGCGAGGACTTGTCGAATGATGACATCTTGATTTTCTCATCTTCCCCAAGCCATTGAGCCACTTTCAGCATGGGTTTCGCTACTAGGAACAAAGGGCATCGCTACGAACGGAGCAAAGACGCTACGTTCGGGGCTCCTGGCATCGCTACTAGGAGCAAGGACGCTACTAGACAGCTCAGCTAAGTAACTTAGCAAGTTTCACCAAAACTCCATTCCTTCACTGTTGGAGACCATCACTATTAGGTTGGCCATCGCCGTGCAAAAAGAGGACGTGACAGTTCTTCGCAAGCTTAGAATGATTCTGTTTACTCTGGGACCACAGTACCATATTTCGATGTGGAAAGTGGCAGTGCGGCATGAAGGCATTCGTTGTTACTACATCATGTCAGTCACTGCCACTGCATAATCCTCCTTGAAACTGAGACCAAACAAATTCTATCTGTCACTCAATTTCATGCTGTTTCCCTTTCCTGGTAGAATATCTTTCGGCATTCCTTCTGCTTTTGTCAGTTCCACATCCTTCGTATATGCAATCTCGTTCACCATACGGGATTGGCTTTGGGGAAGCTGGATCACGGTTGGGATCAAGACCATTCTCGCAGTCACAACTCCAAACTCAAGAAGCACATCAGCTACTAATAGCGATGCCCTTGCTCCTAATAGCGTCTTGTTACTAGTAGTAAGGCCAGGAGCGCCCCTAGTAGCGTCTTTGCTCCTAGTAGTAAGGCCAGGAGCCCAGTAAAGGTTATATTCTAGCTAGGCTAGCTGCTAGCAGTTTCACCACAGCACTGAGATCCCGGCTGACTGCGAGGCACCAAGGAGAGTTAAAGCCAAGCGAGACAGCCTCAGCGCTGAAGCTCAATGTCTCAGAGACCAAAACTCTTCGTTTCAAGCTGCGATGCAAACAGAAGACAAGGCTGCATCGCTTCTCGCGGCACTTCGCAGAAATTGGCCAGCAAGCGCCTGCAAAACACAGAGGAAAAGGCAAACAGCGAGACACTATCGCACAAATGTCAAGAGCAAACACTATGTCGACGTGTGCGAGCAGCCTAGACAGCAACACATGTGCAGGCCAACAAAGGGAGCTTTGTGATAAATCGAGTGCTCCAAGAGAAAGGCAAGTACAACACAACGGGTGGATGTTGTTTTTATAGATGCTTCTGATTTGCTTTTGCTGCTTTTGCTGCTTTTTCGTTTGCTGCGTTGTTGTTTTTGCTTTTGGTGTTTGCCTTTGCTTTTCTGGTTTATGGCTGATCCTTCGCATGTGGCGCTTGGAGATCGTAGCTTTATCTGGTGGAGGCGCTGCACCCTCCCTCCACCCCCCTCGGTGTGAGGCTAACGTCGGACACACCAACTGCCCAATGTGGAGTGTAAACAAGACGCACAAACTGCTGTAAATAGCAGCGAACTGTGAGCCCCCAGGATTTTGAAAAAACATCAACTGAAAAATTGAAGAAACACTGTCGAATTAAAGCCGCACCCATTTAGATACACAAATACAACATCGAGTTTAGCATGCTAGTTGGTTGCTCCTGGCAGCAGGGGAGTTGAAGAACAAGAAGCAACAAAGCGAGGGCAAGTGGAAAGGCGGCAGCAGCAGGAGCACGACTAACGGTTCAAAAATGCAAGCAACATGCTTGCGGTTATCTTTTCCGAAAAAGAAAGAAAGCACATCTTCTACGCATCGCTAGACACTGAAACAAGTCGCATACTGAAAACACTCCAAGTCTTTCGATTCATGTTGACGCCCGTATGCCTTTGATTTCTCCAACACAAGTGTAACTCTTCCTGTTGACTGTAACAGGAGGCCATCGCTCTTAGGTTGGAGGCCATCGCTCTGAGGTTGGAGACCAGCGCTCTTAGGTTGGAGGCCATTGCTAATAGGTTGGAGGCCATCGCTCTTAGGTTGGAGGCCATCGCTCTTAGGTTGGAGGCCATCGCTCTTAGGTTGGAGGCCAT